TCTGGCAAATAAGTGCTCAGAGGATTACAGCCTAACTGCACCTCAATAGCAGCCCAATACTATGCGGAGTTAGGTGTCCCTGAACCCAATGAGATAGAACTGGACTGCAAGACTCACTCTTAAATTGAGGTCTGTAGTAAAGAGTAAGTTGTGTAAGGAGTGCCTGCAGAATTACAGAGCTAAGCAAAAACGAAATGTTTTGTGGCACCTTAAAGGCAAACAGGTTTTATTTTGGCATGAACGATTTGATGCACCAAATCACTTTCCACATGTATATTTACTGAGGAAAAACTCTTCCCACCTGACAAGCTTTTACAAGACCAGTCCCAAGCCTTACTGTGCAATATTAATAAATACTTTAGATTATTATTTCATTTATACTAATGTCTGCAAGATGTTTTGGAGAGAATATGTAGAGAAAATCTTCATATAGATAGCATAATCTGATTTTGATATGAGCTTTATAAATGAGCTGAGGCATCTCATTAAAACAGGCTTCTCAATAAACTTTTAGAAAAAAATTTTTTAAACAAGGACAATGAACTGAATGATAAGCTATAACAATGCTAGAAAAATAAATGGAACAGTGGAAAACAGGTTTTAACTGCTGACATGAAGCTTTTAAAAATCTACACTAAATGTTAATTATCATTTTCTTACCTAGTATTTTTATTTGCGTCAGAAGAAGACCCTGTGGCATGGAATGAAATAAATCCCAGACTGGTTATATACATGTGCTCCTAATTCCTACATCCAGTTTTCTGCAGTAGCTCATAGTGTGTTAACTTGTGCCTTCAGCACTTGAGAATAATTTTGCAATAGCTGTGATAATGCCAAAACTGCAGACAGATCTGTAGTAAAGTGTTGCTAATAGTTACAGACTATAATAATGTGCCAGTGTGTTGAAACAAAGTAATTTCCATTTCCCATTAGATAATGTACTGCAAAAGTAGGCCAGGAGCTACAGTGCCGTGAGAAAATTTGTCAAGAGTAGGTTGTTCTTTGACTAGACATGTTTAACCCGAAGGAACTAGAAGCCAGAAAGATGCAAAGGAAGATGTAATGAGGTGGGTGGTTTTTATTAATGGTGTTTGGTTCTTCTTATTAAAATATAGTGATAACATTGTGAAATAGCATCACATAAAAAGTACCAGGAAATTGAATGTTATGAACATTACAAAAACTATACAAAATCTATGCTTTTATGGTACTGGTGATGCATATGTAGAGTTCTGGCTATCACTTTCTTGAGTAGGAGGTGCAGAGAAGGCGGCAGTATTAAAACAAAACTACCTATCAAGGCCTTTGAAAGCCTGTGTTTTAAAAGGCTTAATTTAATGTAAATATGTATAGGACTGCATTTTAGAAGGATGTGAACACTTCATTTCTTTTCTTAAAGAGATAGCTCAGAACATTACACATTATTTTGAAAAGTGAATGGAACAACTGTTGTATTTTGGTTGGAGTCTAGCCAATGAAATAATCTTACAGAAGTTTGTAAACAAAACAACAGAACTACAAAAATGGCTCGCAGAGCATAAGCTGTAATATCAAGGAGCTTTCAAATAAAAGTTGCTGCAATGACATAATCACAGCCTTGGTCTATGGAATTTACCACCGTCTAAGTTCATTATCAGGGACGCGGGTGGCGCTGTGGGTAAAAGCCTCAGCGCCTAGGGCTTGCCGATTGAAAGGTCGGCGGTTCGAATCCCCGCGGCGGGGTGTGCTCCCGCTGCTCGGTCCCAGCACCTGCCAACCTAGCAGTTCGAAAGCACCCCCGGGTGCAAGTAGATAAATAGGGACCGCTTACTAGCGGGAAGGTAAACAGCGTTTCCGTGTGCGGCTCTGGCTCGCCAGAGCAGCGATGTCACGCTGGCCACGTGACCCGGAAGTGTCTCCGGACAGCGCTGGCCCCCGGCCTCTAGAGTGAGATGGGCGCACAACCCTAGAATCTGTCAAGACTGGCCCGTACGGGCAGGAGTACCTTTACCTTTACCTAAGTTCATTATCACAATGGTGATAATAGATTAATAAGGAGATTAGATAAAGTAATGAGGGATGGATATTTCAAGAGAAACAAGATAACAGGACCAAGACTCCATTCCCATACCTAAGTAGTTCAGTACGTGATCAGGAAATTATTTCCTGTGCTTTTTGATAAAGAATATTGGGGTAGATAGATTACATCATTCTGATTAAGCAAGGCTGTATACTTTAACATTCTTCTCTTTAATATTAACTGCATGGTCTTTTAAAATCATGCCCACCTATCTTGTTGCTCGTACTTTATAGAATAACACTTTTGCAACACACACACATTTCTGTCCTATATTTAATATTACAATCCTAAATAAATGTTCCTTGTGGTGCTAAAAACTTAATTCAAATTAAGTTTAAAAAATGAGATGTTTTGTTTACTTTCAATAACGACTTGACTCACTGCTTACATAAACGAGATCAGATGCACCAGCTGGCATAAGATCCATGTGTAAAATGTGTTTAGGATGGGCTGATGCTTATCTCTCCTGGAACTCTTACCATTCAAAAATGAGTTTAGCTATCATGGATACTCACAAGGAGTGGCCGAGACCTCTTCCTCCTCCAGAGAATTACAAGTTCCTTCAGGGAAAGATCTGAAATTCATTGAGCTGCCACCACTGTAAGAATTGTAGCCACCCACGTGGAGGCATAGTTTTCACAAATGGTACTCTCACTTGGATCTGCAAGGTTTACGAAATGTTAATACAGCTGCAGTCTCCTGTGTGAATTTGCTGTTAGAATTTGCTGTTACTGTAGAATCTTGGAGATTTGGAATAGGAAGCACAAGATTGCTTCACGTTTCCTGTTTCCTAACTTGTACATGATCTCTCCTTACGGCAGGATGTGTGTACTCTCAGCACAGAAGTGGGGTACCTCATCATAGGGGAGATGAAACCATTCTAATTTGGACATGATGGTGAAGTGTTGGGAACAGAAAGCATGAAGATCTGAACTGACTCTTAAAAAGAGGGTTAAAACATGTAAAACATAGCTGTCATGATAATAAACAGTCATCTCCAAAGACTGCATTGCTCATGCTCAGATAACTACAGCAATATGAATCCTAAGACACTGAACACAGTTTGCTTTGCAACAAACCTATGATTGCAGGTCTACCTGTCTCACACAATTACCTCAAATCAAGCCCATAAAACATTCAAAATAAATTATGTGGTAAGGCCTATTATGGGAATACATTCAGATTTTAGAAGAAGTTAACACAAAAAATACAGACTATTTCATCATTAACTTGACTAGCATGGCCTTTTATTCCCCCCCCCCCGTAGATGTGTCATCTGCTGTTGCATTACACCAAAAAGTGAGAAGGCAGGTGCTCTTGATTCCCCCCCTCCAAAAAAATGCATATATTGTGTAGTTTTCATTTCTTCTTAGAGGGACCTATCAGTGTCATTCTTTTAGAAAGTCATAGGTTAATGTCAAAACATAAGATAATCATTATTTTAATTACCTGAATTTTCAACGAAATTAGCCATATAAATTTATATTTTAAAAAAGCACACAAAGGAAAAATACAGAAAAGCCTTTAAGTCTAGATATATCCAACTTCTGTAGATAGTGGAAATGAGAATGGGACTTAGCAACTGGGAAAAATGACTTGTAGGTTGGAACACATGACTTCTAGGTAGACATCTTTGTGTATTTTTTGGGTGAGCACTTTATTTATGGCCACTACCATGTCTGTTTTGACCCATATTCTATGGCTCCCCTGTAATTGCTTCCAGTAATGTTTTGGGCCACTGCTTGGCTCAGTTTGGCATAGATTTCTGCTTGGGAGTATTCAACATGCTGTATCGCAGCAGATTTAATGGCAACCATAGATACAATGCTTAGTATAGAAGTGTTCTATACAGAAGTGAATGCACTTATCACTTGTACTTGTCTACTCACATACTGTATAGCATTAGTAAATGTGTTCTTGGCATGGAGACTACATGTGAACAATCCAACAAATGTGGTAAATGCATTTAAATGTAACAGGGTGCACCTAGAATATTTGCACAGGTGCTCAAACAGGTAAGGACATTTTCTGTGGTTGTTGCCACATCTGCTTTGCCTCTGGGCCTGAAGAGATATCGTAACTGTACTTTCAAGTTCATAATGATGCAAATTGCAGAGGCCATGTGTACCACTCCCATTCTGATGAATTTATTCATAGTGAGAGTTTCCACACAGTCCTGTCAACGTTGCAAGCTGGCCAATGGTTCCGTGTTCTAGCTTTTCAAAACCGTCAATGCAAGCTACTACCATAAACACCAATAAAAAGCAGATTGTTGGCTCCAATGGGACTGCGTTCAAGTCTGTGTTTACATTTACTGAACGCCAAATCCCTTTTACAGCACCCCCAAATCTATAAACACTTTCTGCTGAATTACAGAACAGCTGTTTACCGCGACTGGGAAGCTGAAAAAGACACCCTATTTTTGCATCTTTTTGGTCTTCATGCGTTTCACCTGCTGCATATTGCATTTCCCCGTGGCCTTTCAGCCATACCCATTTCCTAAAGGGTGACCGTGCCTTCCCAACGAGAACCCGAGCGCCTCCGACTCTCGGCTCTTAAGAGAGGCCGCTACACGCGTCCTCCAAAATTTTGGAGTTTTTTTTGCACCTCGCCTTTACGCACATGCGCTAACCTCTTTCTCCGGGGCATTGATTCTGCGTCCCGGGCGCTGGGCTGATTGGACGCGCGAGCTCCGCCTCCCCGCGCCGTGATGGCGGCGAGTGACCCGGAAACGGCCCAAAGACAAGTGAGCGCGTTGCGGAGCGGGAGGCTGATGGCGGGGCGTCGGGCTCGGCTTCCAGGAGAAGGGGGCAGGTCAGGGAAACGGGGCGTTTGCCTAAGGGGTTTTGCCTGCATGCTAAGGTCGCGATAGGGGACGCACAAGTGGCTCCAGATATGGTTGGACTCCATCGCCCTGCAGCCCCAACTTGCATGGTTAGCGAATGATGGGCATTGTAGTCTAGCATCACCTTGAAGCATATTAATATATTCGTCATCCCGTTGGATCTGACCCAATTCCACCGAATTCAGTAGTGGCCGGATAGATGCTGCCAGGATGCCCCCAAGGAAACTTTCCCACCTCCTGGTATGCAGAGGCTTAATGCGACCATCATTATTAGCTGCTGCTTATAAATCCTTCCTTCGTGCATTTCTCTGATTGCCTCCTAAAGTCCACCTAGATTTGGGCACTGCGAGGCAACGGTGCTGGATGAGATGGGTCTCTGGCCTGATATAGCAGGCTCTTCATATGTTCCGATTCTGTTAACACCTTGCTCCTAAGCAGCCACTGTGTTGGTGAGCCGGCTTGTGCTTGACTACTGAAGACTTTGTTTATTCCAACAACTGAATTCTGAATTTGTAATTTTAACTGATTTACATTGCATCAAGTTTATTGCACACTACTTAGAAATTATTGTAGTTCAGCAGTATATAAATAAAATAAAATATTACTGCATAATTTTCTGTTAGACAGAAGAAATTGAAGCCTTGTCTGCTATATATGGCGATGAATGGTGCACCATTGATGAAGATGCAAAAGTATTCTGCATTCAGATTAGCGACTGCCTGGAAAAGCCAAAGTGGAGACTCTGTCTGCAGGTAGGTTTTCCTGTAACATAATTGGTCTTTGAGTTTGCAACTGGATGTCTCAGATGGGCATCTTTGAACCTACTTTTTCTGTTGTCAGGAGGTGTAACATTGTAAATGTACTGAAATGTTTTATTACATTATTCTGAAATGGTTGATTTTGAGAGTTGTTGTTGTTGTAAGCTGCTTTGTGCTTGATTCTTTTGGTGGAAAAGCAGCATACAAGTAAAATGAAGAATGAAGGAATTCTGGGTTGTGGCTTGGCCTCAAATCTTTTGGGTTTAGCCTTCATTATGCATTATTCACATATAAGGCATTCATGATTTCAAGCATAGAGCAGGGCAAGTTCTTCTGCATCGGCTCCACCCTCTGACAACTGAACCATAACTGGTTGTCTGCAAGGGGATCCCTTCATACACACAGCTGCTTCTGCACTGGGCATTCACACAGTCAGGAACCCTGTAGAATCGGGGGTCCCGATCCTGTGAAGCCTGTAAGCACAAGGTGCTGCTTGTGAGCAGGGATTCCCTTGCTGGTGACTGCACTCAACATGCAGTCTTTAGAGGTCAGAGCTAGCATGTCAATGCATCATTGGGGAATGTGGTGAGGAATGTGACCCCACCCTGTCTTGAAACTGTTGGTGCCCTACTTAAGAATAACTAGGACTATTCTTTAGCACACAATTGATTTATAAATGATGCAGTCGGATGTAGGGAGACACATCCTACTTTATTAGTTGTTGCAGAGTTCTGTAACTTTTATAAAAGCAAAACTTTCTTTGTAGGTTAGGATTTTTATTTCTCCAAGTATGTTTTAATGTTGGCAAGATGGTTCTGTCCTTTAATGTTTGCATCTGTCTCATGTATAATGCTGAAAAAATGGGAAAAGTAAAATCTGTATATTATGGGAGAGACATAAGGTACCTAAGATACTGATTCTGTACATGTTTATGCATAAGTAAGGCTCACTTTGTGTGCAGGACTGTCATCTAAGAATTTATGTACTAGTGCTTCCAGTTATTTAATACCTTAACAATGTTTTGGAACTGTCCTGCATTTCTCCTCCACCCCGTTCCCAGCTAGATTTGAAAAATTCTGGCTAATCTACTTGTAAAACTTTTCAGGTGATCCTTCCTCCTGAATATCCGACAACAGCACCACCTATTTATCAAATTAAGTAAGTGATAAGTGAATATTTTTGAAAAAAGCTTCTGTGCCTTTTGTTCCAAACTCTTAGTTTCATAATATGTAACCAATCTGTGTGTGTGATACACAGGCTTGTGTGGAGCCCATACACACTTCAGCTTTGGAGATTTGACCAACAGGGAATGTAGCCCTCTGGCCAAAATCAGCTAATCGTCCTGGTTTAAAGGAACTCAGCAAACTCTAAATTATAGCAACATAAGGGAGAAAGCAAGTGAAAATGTGTCTCTTCCTAGTTTTTTATTATCATATTTTGTGATATGGGTACTGTCCCAGTATGAAGAAGAAGGTAGGATTGCAACAGGATTTGATTTTGCCAAAGCATATAAAATCATAATCACGATGAGGTGTTTTTAGTATCTTGAAGTAGAAAATGGTTTTAAAATGATGCAAATATTAAACTAGTACGTTCCTTTTTTTATTCTAGTGCTCCTTGGCTTTCTGGACAGGAATATGCGGAACTTGCAAATTATCTGGAAGAACTCTATGTGTAAGTTGTACTGTTTGTAGGAATACGAATCATAGAAAGAAGCATGGGAAGCTGGGATCTAGCATAGTATCTGCTTTCTGTGAAAACCATGTTTTCACAAACCAGCGGAGAGTGGGTGCAGCTGTATCTGTAAATCGTATTAAAAGGGCCACGACTTTCGAGTGCCCTGATGAGGAGGAAGCATAGCTGCTGCCATGCTGCTTTTATTGCAGTTATTTGTATGTTTTCAGATTATATATGTGCTTGAATTCTGTTAATGCTTAATTATTTTTTTCTATGTTTTTAGCTATTCTTGGTTTTATTTGTAAGCCTCCTTGAGTCCTGTCAGAGTAAAAGGCAGGGAATAAATGAATGAATGAATAACAACAAACAAACAAATGTAATAATAATAAATGTCATGGTTATGTTTTTAAAAATCCAAATACTGTCCTGAAATGTTTTATACATAATTCCAGCAGATGGCAGCAATGTTGAAAAAGCAATATGAAGCAGAACCTTTTGCTGGAAGTGAAGATTTATGGGTCTTATACAAAATAGTCCATTCTGTTTTAGTGAGACAACTGTTATAGCAAAGCTAGGCAAAGGCCATGTGTTATGGTGTAACATCACGTGGCACTTACTTCTGAGGAAGCATGCATAGGTTTGAACTTCCTGACTGCTCTCTTCCAAAACCTAAAGAACAAGCCGCTCTGTGTCCCTGGAATGAAAGTGGTGTATCATAGGATATTTTTACGCAAGAAGGCTCCTAAACCACATCTGAAACAGAGATTTCTATGATGCTATCCATTAAAAAAGTAATTTTAGAGTAGATTTGTATATTTTGTATCATGCTTTTCAGACAGAATCTTGGTGAAAGCATCCTTTATCTATGGGTGGAGAAGATACGTGAATTTTTGATAGAAAAATCGCAGTCTTCTGATTCAGGTAAGGTGCTAAACAGATGGGTCTGAGCAACCTCCAGAGCAGGTTTTGGGAACACGTGGGGAAAGGAAGAAGAATTCCTGTTGCACACACATAACTCTGCTCACACTGCACTGCATATAACCCTAGATGATTGGTACTTTTGATCATTACTATGTAGAAAAACCACAAGTGGGAAGTGAGAAGGCTGTGCTAAAGCCTGTTGGGCACCATGTGACCCAATAACCAGAAGTACATGCAGGGCTTATGATCAGACACGGGAAGGGCTATGGCAGTCTACACAGTCTTGCCTTCGTTCGCTGTAAGGCCCCCGTGCAGCTGGATCATGTGAGGCAGCGTAAATAAAGCTAGAGGCAGGCTAAGACACTTTCAGTTGCTTGAGAAAATGATCAATTCTGCTTTCTATATCCCCCCCAATAAAACCCAATTTCAAGCAACGTGTTACATCTAGTTCCAATAGATCAGTAGATTATTATTAAAAATGCACTTTTAGCCACTTCTCGGAGGCTTCAGCATCCCTCCTAAAGTGAGAAACGGTGAGAGTGCTATTAAAGCAGGAATACCAGCTGCAGTTTAGTAAGTGTTTCAAAATATCTGATAGCAGAACTAACTGAAACCAGGAATACAAAAATATTTATGCAATGGAAATAGTACTAATTAACGTTGTATGTGGCTTAAGGTTCTGGAATATTTATTTATTTTTATTTATTTCATGTATCAATTGCTTCCAACAAGACTTTGCAAAGCAGTTAAACAATATAGACACAATTTTCAAGCCCAGTGCTGATAGACAGGGAATAAAAATCTCTACTTAACAGGCTTGTTGTGAAAGGAAGGCCTTCGATAGACACCGAAAAAAATAATTGATATGGAACCTGACTGATTTGTAACAGGAAGGAATTCCAAATTTCACCATACAAAAGTCTTGCTTCTCTGTCAACAGAACAGCAACACAGTTGGAATATACAGGCATGTAGTCTGGCATTTCTGTTATTCCTCCAAATTGCAATTTTATCATCTTGATACAACAAATAAATAAGAGACATTTCAGAATGATAGTTCATGTTTAGTTTCTTCCTGAAGGGTGTCACGTTTACTGGTGAAATTAATAGGTAGATTACAACACTTAGGGTGGGATCTTTAATGTGATGTGCTGTACTTTTTTTTTTGGCAACTATTGGTGTGGCTTTGAAAACTGCAGGATTTGCAGCCCACATATTTTTCTGCTATCCTCTGCAAAGCATTCTTGAAGCCAGACGTGCATTTAGCCATGCCTGCATTTGGTAGTTCTCTCTGCCCTCTAGTGGTATAACTTTTTGGTGACATGTACTAGGGAATCAGCATGTGGGTGAAAACAATTGGAGCATCCTGAGAGATATAGTGGACATTCAGCAGAATAAGGGGTGTTATAGTAATCTATGCCAAATAATTTGCCTTGCTTTACCCCATCTGTAGATTATTGCTGAAATTTCCTAGTGATCATCTGAACTTTGCTTGAGTTTATCTGAAGTGATACGCTTACTACGTTTTTCAAGGCTTTTGAATATGTGAGAGTCACATAGCGGGAATGGGAAATTTAGACATACGAACCATGTTTGCACACGTTTGTGATTCCTGGAGGTAATTTGTGCAAGTTCAAAATGCACAGAAGCTAGATGGCAAGATCTGTGTAATACTTGCTATGATTTGTTTCTTCTCTAAATCTGCACATGCAAAATTTACCCTTGTGTTTCTTTTAAACCCTGAAAAATACGATGTGTGAGTGTCACTTCATGCATTTTCCTTTTTTCTGATATGGGGACACTTGGATGTCAGAAAAATAATGCAACCTGTCTGTAGGTTGTTATGTGACAATTGCACATGTAGGTATTCCTAGTAGTGGGTCCAAAATATTTTATAATACAGTGATACCTCGGGTTACATACGCTTCAGGTTACATACGCTTCAGGTTACAGACTCTGCTAACCCAGAAATATTACCCTGGGTTAAGAACTTTGCTTCAGGATGAGAACAGAAATCATGCTCCGGTGGCGCCGTTGACAGCAGGAGGCCCCATTAGCTAAAGTGTTGCTTCAGGTTAAGAACAGTTTCAGGTTAAGAACGGACCTCCGGAACGAATTAAGTACTTAACCCGAGGTACCACTGTACTTTACATGTGGTTCTGACAGTTATAATTACCGTATTTTTCGCTCTATAACACGCACCTGACCATAACACGCACATCGTTTTTAGAGGAGGAAAACAAGGGGGGGAAAATTCTGAATGAAACAGTGGATGTATCATTTTTGTGCTTCATGCTGTGGCCACAGACATGTGATCTGATGGTGAATTTGGGGTGACCCAATGCAAAAATCCTGAGAATCCCTGTGGATCCATGCTTTGTAATCACGTTTTTGCACCATTGCAGCCCCAGGCAACAGTGGGTGCGTGATTTTTTTTGGTGCAGGCTGTAGCCATGGTCATGCTATGTGATCTGATGGTGAATTTGGGGTGACCAAATGCAAAGATCGTGAGGATCCATGTAGATCCATGCTTTTTAACCACGTTTTTGCACCATTGCAGCCCCAGGCAACAGTGGGTGCGTGATTTTCTGGGGGCAGGCTGTAGCCATGGACATGCTATGTGATCTGATGGTGAATTTGAGGTGACCCAATGCAAAGATCCTGAGGATCCATGTGGATCCATGCTTTGTAACCACATTTTAAGTGGGGAGGGAAGGAAAAACACAGAAGGGACAAGGAGCACGAGAGGGGTGTGCAGAGAAGCAGCTGGCTAAGAATGCAGGAGAGGGTTTAACGGGTTAGGTAAGAAAGGAAGGCAAAAGTTTCCACCCACCCACCCAAGCCAGCCAGCTCTCTCTCTCTCTCTCTCTCTCTCTCTCTCTCTCTCATCTGCATGTTTTCCGGCTGCCTGCGAGTCCCTAGACGCAGCAGCAGCAGCACCGGAGCACGGAGAGGAATTAGAAGGAAGGACGCTCTGCTTTCCCCTCTGCTTGCCTGGAGGGGAGGGGCTTTCCCTGCTCTTTGTTCTGTTTGAGCAAACACAGCAAGGAAACAGAGGAGGGTGGGCAGTAAGATCCTGAGGCAGAATGCAGGAAAGCAGCAGCTTCCTTTTTTCAGGTTTCCCTTCTCTGAGACGCGCGATTTGATTTTTGCCTCCACTCGCGCCAGTCGGCTCCAGGGACCACGCATTCGCTCAATAACATGCACAGACATTTCCCCTTCCTTTTTAGCAGAAAAAAATCTGCGTGTTATAGAGAGAAAAGTACAGTAATAATTTGCTCTGCCCTCTGAATGACCAATGCATCCTTTTTATTTATTTTTCAAAGTATGTGTTATATGTGTTTCTTAAGAAGTGCCACTTGCAAATGTAATTGTACCACTAACTTCCCCACAGATGCTACCAATCACTTAAAATAGTTTGAACTGTCAAGAAAGCCTTTTAAAGCAGGTATTGCTTTTATACCAGTAGGACCAGATGTTAAAAAAATTACAGAAGAAACTGATCTGGATTACGAAGAGAATTTTTCACTGGAGTATCAACCCCTCCGGGAATGTGCAGCTGTAACTCTGAATTTTGATCTGTCAGAAAGCCAAGAAGGTAGAGTAGCTATTGGTGTTTAGTTATGTTTCTGCTGTTACTTTTGTGTCTATAAAATATATATATATGAAACGGCGCTCGTGAAGTGGAGCCAAGCCTTGTGAAAGCACTGCTGCAAATCACTTTGTCCTCCTGTGATTTTGTGTTAGATATCTGCACTGTATTGTCTGATCTTTTGATTAAAAAGTGGGTCTGGCAAAATAAAAAGAGGAACTGATGCCTTTGTGAAGGGGGTGAACATTTACAAAGGGACTGATTCCCTAAGGCTTGCCTCCATCTTCGGCATGTTAGACATGGGCGTCTGAGCTAGGGAAGACTACATGCGCAGATCTCTGTGGGAACTGGAACCCTGATCATTCTTTCCTGAACCTTCCATCCTCAGATATCCACCTCACTCAGCACATGGACATCAGAGGTGGGATCAGAAAATGCCATAGCTCTCACACGGCTTTCTATGTGTGGACCCCCTTACCACAATTGTGAAGGGATCAATAGGGAAGTTATTGTTGGTACAGTGAATGGCTTAGCAAATGGCATGGTGCAGAACAGACAGGAGTGTGATCCTAGGTGAGATTATGCTATATGATTAGAAGAGTCAGGCGTGGAGATTCCCCCCACTATATCTTGCGCTTTATAAATATTGGTAAGAGATGCATGTGTTGCGTACTTGAGCATGAAGTGAGCCTTTGGCTCACGCACAGCTATTCCCTGACTTACTTCCCAGTTTAGGCAGCATTTTATTTGCAGTTTTTAACCCATAGTAAACTCGTAGCAAGCTGTAGAGAAGGAAAGCTTTAAAAGTTGATGGAAGGCAAGCAAAGAAATCAGTGTAAAGGATTTAAAAGAGAGGAGTGAAGCTTGTGATTGTAGGAGACGGGGGGAGAGACTAGTTTAGCAAGGGCATTCTGAATTAGTTGGAGTGATGGTACAGTAGCCCACCTTTGCACAAAACCTAAATTCTTAAATTTGCAGATGAAGAGCTGCCGCCAATTTATCATGGAAACCCAATTACAGACCGAAGAAGCACTTTCCAGGCACATTTAGCACCTGTTGTGAGCCCCAAACAGGTTAGTAAAATCTGCTTTCTGACAGGCCTTTCAGTCTCCTCCTCTCTAGGTTATAAGTATACATTTGTAAGCATGTATGTATATGTTCTTATTTGCTTAACACATATACCACAAATATGTTTTCTTCTGCAAAATACAGATTTCTGTCATCCATTCCAGAGGGTTTTATTGGCTTAAATATTGCTATCCAGATTAAAATGAATGACCTGGGGAATTTAGATTCAGGATCATCTTGAAAGAAGAGATACGTGGTAACCTTTTGGATCCAGGATATTTGTAAAAAAAGAGGTGTGCAGTAATTTGGATTCAAGATAATCAGATAAGAAAAGATGAATGGTAACCTTTTGAATCGATAGGATTGTATATCTGGCTTGAAACTGAGCAGTGGATTGCACAGAAATAGCACATGTTATCATGCGAAACATACATCATGCGAAAGGCTGCATATCAACAACCTCAGATATGCAGATGACACAACCTTGATGGCAGAAAGTGAGGAGGAATTAAAGAACCTTTTAATGATGGTGACAGAGGAGAGCGCAAAATATGGTCTGAAGCTCAACATCAAAAAAACGAAGATCATGGCCACTGGTCCCATCACCTCCTGCAAATAGAAGGGGAAGAAATGGAGGCAGTGAGAGATTTTACTTTCTTGGGCTCCATGATCACTGCAGATGGTGACAGCAGCCATGAAATTAAAAGACGCCTGCTTCTTGGGAGAAGGGCAATGACAGGCCTTGAGAAGTAGAGACGTCACCTTGCCAACAAAGGTCCGTATAGTTAAAGCCATGGTTTTCCCAGTAGTGATGTATGGAAGTGAGAGCTGGACCATAAAGAAGGCTGATCGCCGAAGAATTGATGCTTTTGAATTATGGTGCTGGAGAAGACTCTTGAGAATCCCATGGACTGCAAGAAGATCAAACGCATCCATTCTTAAGGAAATCAGCCCTGAGTGCTCACTGGAAGGACAGGTCGTGAAGCTGAGGCTCCAGTACTTTGGCCACCTCATGAGAAGAGAAGACTCCCTGGAGAAGACACTGATGCTGGGAAAGATGGAGGGCACAAGGAGAAGGGGGCGACAGAGGACGAGATGGTTGGATAGTGTTTTCGAGGTTACCAGCATGAGTTTGACCAAACTGCGGGAGGTAGTGTAGGACAGAGGTGCCTGGCGTGCTCTGGTCCATGGGGTCACGAAGAGTCGGACACGACTAAACTAAACAACAACAAATCCTCAGCTCTGGGATAACTTACAGAGTCCTACAGGCATTATCTGTTCTGTGAAAGCTTTTATTTGAAAAGCATAAGACCAAAGTATCCACAGTGGCCAGCTTTAAAAAAGGTAAAGGACCCCTGACAGTTAAGTCCAGTCGCGAACGACTCTAGGGTTGCTGCGCTCATCTCGCTTTACATGCCAAGGGAGCCGGCGTTTGTCTGCAGACAGTTTTTCTGGGCCATGTGGCCAGCATGACTAAGCCGCTTCTAGTGCAATGGAACACCAAAACCAGAGCAGCGCACGGAAACACCGTTTACCTTCCCGCTGGAGCGGTACCTATTTATCTACTTGCACTTTTTGGCGTGCTTTTGAACTGCTAGGTTGGCAGGAGCTGGGACCGAGGAACGGGAGCTCACCCCGTCGCAGGGATTCAAACCGCCAACCTTCTGATCGGCAAGCCCAAGAGGCTCAGTGGTTTAGACCACAGTGCCACCTGCGTCCCTTGGCCAGCTTTATGCCTCTGCAAATAAATTACCTGAGGGAAAGACACCTGTGAGAAACCGTAGTGGGATTTGGTGCAGTGCAAACGCCTCCTTTGTTTCCTAGGCTGTTCCCCTCTGCTGACATGAATACCTGTGGTGACTGAAGTTTCAAGGGACCTGACAGTTATCTAGTCCAACCCCCTGCAATGCAGGCATCTCAACATGTGGTCCACCATCCAATTTGAAACCCTGCTTAGTTTTGCAGATTTGCCAGAAGTTTTATTGCTGCACCACTAGAGTTTGGAGTATAGCCCACTGGCCTCAGTGGGACCTACTCCTGAGTAGATATTCATAGGAATGCACTATTAATGCACACATACCAGCCTGTGCCAGCTCAGTCCCATTTGCGTGGTGGTGGTGGTGGTGGAAACTGTTCTAGAATTGCTGGTTGATTATTAGCACAGTCAGTTATTTACATTGCCCTCCTTTGGTGCATTTTTCCCCTTAGAAAGGGAAATATATGATTTGGGAAACTGTTTTCAAAGCAAAATTCTCTTTGCAGATACTCTGAACTGTGTCTTGAGGTAGACTATATCAGTTTTTTCCTCTCCCCAGCATAGTAAGTGAATTTGCTGTGAAATAATGGGAATACTGCAAAGATAAATATTGGAGATGTATTTTGATAACTCTAGAGAGATGACTTTTTTTCTCTCCTTTTGAATTAAAAGCAATTTGCTTGCCAGGCATGTTTTCTCAAGCTCTCACAGCTTTAATAATGTTTTGCTTAAAGTGGTATTAATTATGCATTGTTTATTAAAACAGTTTTTTCATCACAAGGTTTATCTAGTACAGGGAAACATGAGCCATCTGATAAGAACAGAACAATAGATAACTATGTTTAAGGAGATATGGGGGGAAAGGACAACTAATAAATTACCATCTAATTCTTTATTGAGCTCTTAGGGCCTACAGTACAAAGATTAAATGTGTAAAAGGGAGTATTGGAGGAATCTTGATTATTTCCACAGATTAACACAATAGATTCTGTAACCTATTGGGCAAAAAAGCAAACCAGTGTGGTGTTGTTGTTGTTGTTGTTGTTGTTGTTTTAATCCACATACTGTTGATCCTGTTGATTTAAGTTTTCTGAGTGAGAAAAATGCTTTACAGGCTACACAGAGTAACCTAGAGCTCAAACAGGAAGATGGTGTGTGGGTCTGGGGTGCCAGCCCCCAGAAGCAGCCTTTGATGTCTTGATCTGTTGACGTTATTTCTACCGCTTCGTATTTCATTTTCTTACACAAAGAGCCCCTTGCGACTTTCTAGATCAGGCAGTTCATCTTCTCTGGCATCTGATCAGTAGTGTTTTGCTTTAATAAGATATCAAGGGCCCCATTTTTCACCTCCTCACATGCCTTGCCAAATGTACAAAACTGGCCCTCTGTACCTGGCTGGCTGCTCACGTTTCTAAGCATACAAAACTTTCCCCAAGGCTAAGAGCTGCAGGTCGATCTTCCTCCAGCGCTTTCCTTCCACAACAGTTTGCTATATCCTTCATCTTCACCTTCTTCTCTTTACTCTATCCACACTATTCATTTAAAATTTTGACAATGGCTTGAATCCCAAGTGCATCTTCCGTTCATGGACTCCCTCATTTCCCAATACCACTTTGAAGGACCCCACAAAGCAGAATTGCAGAGGTCTGTGGAGAAAAAGGGGTGGGAGTGGAGATGGGAAGGTATATTCCATGAGTTCTGCTGTCTAGAGAAGGAAATGTAGGATCTCAGCTTATGTTTGCATCACATTTTTCAGCCATTCTTTTAAAATATGTATAGTTTTATCATAACTAAGGACATTGGTGATACAGCCCAAGTTCCAGACTCTTTCCTCCAAAGGAAAGCGGTAGAAGGTACTACAGACAAACATGGAGGCTGAACAATGGTAAAAAAAATGCTAACCCAAAGAATCAGCCCTTCTGTCAATCTGTAACCTGTTCCTTTCTTTTCTTCCCCCATCCCAGTCCATGTTCCTTGTAAGCCCCAACAGTCCATGTAGCTGAAGTTGTACTCTGGGGCACTCTTGGTTGTCTTGGAAAGATCTTCATTGCACTCGTGGTCTTTGGAGTTTTGTGGTTAACACATTAACTTCCTTGAGCATCACTATCTCAGGTGGTACTGGGTGCATTTTACCATTACACCAAATCTTAAATTAGCCTTTGCCAACCTTGCATCCACCAGATATTTTGAACTACAATTCCTGTCATTCTATTGGCCATGCTAACTGATAGGCATTGTAGTACAAACATCTTGAGGGCACCAGGTTGGCAAAGGCTGTCTTAAGTTTTACACTTGCAGGCTGTTGTCCTGGGCACATTTGCACAGACGTATACACCACTGCATTCAGTGGCATTTACTGCCAAGGAAACATGTACATGCACAAATGAATAATTTCTTGTACCAGAAGTATGGACGCCATATTGCAGTCTGCACCACTGTTGCATTTAATTTAATTGAAATGTTTTAGTAGTAACTGCAGAGAATGAGCCTTGTTTGCAAAACCTTGAAAGTGAAGCATATAAGCATTTATACGTTGGGAGAAAAAAACAACATTATTTTCCTTCGTAGGTGAAAAATGTTCTTGCTGAGTTGTACAAGAATAAGAAAATAGCCAGTGCTACTCACAATATATACGCATACAGGTGAGTAGCCAATTTCCAGTGGCAATTATTTCAGAGGGATGAACAAGAGAAACATCTGCCTTGATTGTTACCTTAATAGCATCAAAACTCTCTCGCGCTGTCATACAGTGTAACTACAGGTGGTTATGATAGATTTTAAGGCGTTTGAATAAAAGGAAGAGCCCCATAAACAATATTGTTGAGATATGTATTATGGGATAAGCAGCAAACATGTAAGGATGTTTGCTTTGTTACTTGACACTTTTTGTTTCACTTTTTGCTTTTAGGATATACTGTGAAGACAAGCAGACTTTCTTACAGGATTGTGAAGATGACGGTGAAACAGCCGCAGGTGGACGTCTTCTCCATCTCATGCAGGTAAAAGGAACCAATTGGTAATTGGAGAATTCCCCCCCCCCCGCCCCCAGTGTTTGTATTGTAGTTCTAAAATAAAGTTTATTCTACAAATCTGTATTGAGTGTAGATGATAGATAGATTAGATAGCTGATAGATAATGATTAGAAAGCAGTATTTGAGTATTTTTACACATGGGAGCTAAATGATGGAAAGACTGTAAAATAATAAAAACATCCTACCATCTAGGTACTATTTAGTGGAAATTTCAGTTTCTAGGTGTAGAATTACAAGATCCGCAGAAAGATACTAGAGACAGAAACACTGAAAATGGCAGTCTGTGCCTAATTTCCCCTGTTTCCTTTACATCACATTTACATTATGGTGCAGTGAGATTCCTTGCCCATATGCCACACATCACTGGCTGACGGGACTTGAGTGTTTCAAAATATGGTGACATCACATCACATAGAAACCCAGTTCATATGTCACATCAAACCATAATTAACCATAAATTCTGCACCTGCTGAAAAGTTCTTCATCCTCCTCGTGTGCCAGGTCATAACAGATTAAAACAGTAGAAGAATCAAGTACGTTTTTAAAAAAAATTAAATCGCTGGCTTTCTATTAAAAAAAGAGGAAATAAGTAATTAGCCTCCCCTGTGGGGAAAGGAAATTGATGCAGGGCAATTCTCAGGGAGGCTACTCAAGGGGAGTCACTAATCCCCCCAATGTAATCAATAGATGGCAATAAAATTGCTTGAACCTGTAAATTAGAAGCGCTTCATTTAAAGGCATGGGAGCCCAGAAAAGCCTTAATAGTACTCCGTCTCTCAACAGTGAAAAGAGTAGCCATGCAACTGGGACTTATTAAAAAAGAAATTGCTATGAATTGTGTCTGAAACAAAGGAGGACCACCTTCTTTGTCTGTGTGCTGTTTCCTTTTACTGTAGTAGATCTCCTCCTAAGGGAGATGCAGACAACATGACCTGTTCATGTTTTACAGTTTTGAACACTTGGAATTTGATGTCTGTGACAGAATTTGGTTTTTGGAAAATCCCAATGTGGTTTTAAAATAATTGGGACTTAAAGCATTCGGCAATTACTTCCCAGAATTTGGTGTGTGTTTTTTTGAGCAATGGCTCAAAAACTGACTCCCCGTCAGAGAGCACCCTTGGGAAGGACCTACTTGGCTAAATGATGGGAGGAAAGTATTCTCTTCTTTGACATATTTGCTATCATGAATTATTTACTGTTTGTATATGTTGGTGAAAACAACAAAACTTTTAAAGAATCTTTGTGGATCTTGCAACGGAGATAATTTGAAAGCATAGCCCATAGTCCTAATCTGGTCCAAGGCCATGAATTGGTTTCTCCATGCTGATCAGCCTTATGGCTGTATTTGAAAACTAGATACATGCAATGGGCAGGTGAAAGATTGTGTCCAGCATTCCACGAGTCCGTCATGCTCCAGCCTCATCTAATATCTGGTCTCTAAGAGGCTTCAAGTTGCTGTAGCTTCTATTCCAGCTTGCTCTTGCTGCAGGCGTAGTGTTGCCCATTTTCAGTCAAGAAGACAAACAGGGCACAGGTGTTGCAGGTCACTGCAGCAGCTTCCTCTCCATCCATGTCTCTTGGTCCTACGTACACTGTGAGATAGCACACTGGGCATCCTCCTAAAACTCAGCTAAACGCCCTTGCAATGCCCCTGTTTACATATTATGGCCAGAAGAGCTTCACCTGCTGGATCCCACCCCCCACCCCCCGTAGTGATTTTAGCCTTTGCTGAATGGGAGGTCTAGGGTCTGGCAGGTGGCGCTGCTGCCTCCACTCCTGCAGCCCTCTACATTTCATTTACAATAGCTCTCCTCTTCCTGCTTACTTCTTCCCCAATAGCGAGCGTAGTTAACAGTCAGATGCTGAATTTATTAAGTAGATGCTGGATATGCCTAAATTGTTGACGTACCAGTGCAGAATTCGAGTTTCTGGACCAATGTCAGCTTTTCTTATTAAAGAATTTTGGGCAAGGGAAGACAGAGTTGGCTTGTGCTTTAAAAAAAGGGGGGGTAATGTTTATTTCTAGAAATATTCCAGAGAGTGACATCAACAATGACATGCACTCATTGTATACAGGAAAGCACATCCAGGCAGACACAAGTCACACAGCTCATCTTCCAGATGTTAATGGACAAGTGTTTTTATACAGATCCTGGATGTCCGCAATGTTCTGGTGGTGGTGTCCCGTTGGTATGGTGGTATCCTGCTAGGACCAGACCGTTTTAAACACATCAACAATTGTGCCAGGAATATACTTGTGGAACAGAACTACACCAAGTCCCCTGTAAGTCTACCCTAATAGCGATGGCTTCTGTTAACTGGCTGCTGAAATGCCACACACATAGACACTCTCTAAAATGGCATGTGCACGTAACTGAATTTTTCAGTTTACTTGTTGCATGAGAAAACTACTATTTAAAATTTTCCCCAAGTTTAAAAGTAGTTTGGTGGGAAAGCTTTTTCAAGGAATAGGTGGTGTTTTGGTGAATATTATTTCTCATGCCCAATCCCCAGACTGACAGTTTTCTCCTTCACCTCCCCACAAGTTCAGCGTGGGACTGGTTCTGAGAAGGAAACAATGGAATAAAGTCAGAGGTGCATGCCTGTGGGTGGCTGAACGCCACTTTTCGGTCTTGCTTCCTTTTCTGCTTGATGTGTTTGGTGCATGATTTCTGTGGCAAAAGGAAAGAACAGGAGTTGGCAGATGAGCACTGAAGAAAGGGAAGATCAAGTAGCAGCATGAAACATGGCAAAGCTAAGACATATAATAAGAGGCGATTAGGTGGGCTGTGGTGGAGAGATGGAGAATTTTAAAGGTAAAGGCTATAGAAAGTGACAGAGGGTCTTGAATTTTTAGGAGACTAATTTCTACCCTGTGTTGAAGGTAATTCTGTAAACAGGGTATAAAACCTGTAAAAACTTCATGTTCATCTGAAATCAACTGTCTTTTGTACCAGTTGCTAAGTTTTTTGGAATGCATCCAATACTTAAAATCTTTCAGAGCCCTAAAACGCCACCTGCTCTGAAAAAAACATGTGGTGTTTTATGATTCAGTGGGTTATAGTACAATAGTATTATTGATCTTGGTCATATAAAAGAGGGGGTAAATGAAGCATAATAGTCTAAACATTACTCTTTTAAAAATTATATTAATCAGAAACACCAGTGTGCCATGGAAAGTACAGTGTAATTTATTTACGATATGTTGTTAATGTAGTGCCTATTTTCTGTGCAGAAAGCCCCACAGGTGGCAAGAAAGAGCTCCAGTTGTATTGTCTGTCACTCATACCTAAGAGAAAACAGTTCCTATATAAAGCCTAACGGCAAAAAGTTGAAATGGAATCTGTTCTGTAACGTCTCCAATGGTTATGAATGGTTAGCATCATTTTGCAGACAACTTTTTCCATTCAGAAATAATATTAATGACACAAGTATCAATCTTTTCAGAATCCGTTCAGTGAATCAGGAAAACATAAAACTAAACAGAGTATTAATTGTAGATCATTAACCTTGAAAGTATCCTACCAGTGCAGAAAAGCACAGCAGCTTATGCAGAGTAAGAAATAAGTTGTGCTCATTTTGATTTTTTTCCTCCTCTCTCTAGGAAAATTTATCTAAGCAGCTGGGGAAGAACAAAAGAATAAGGAAGGACAAGAAGAAAATGTAACAGTAATTCAGTTTGCAAAATCGCATAGCCATTTTATCTTTCCCCTGTATGTATGCAGTTAAAACACCAGTCACTCAGATAGTGAAAGGATTTTTTGTAATCCTAAATGTTTTATCTCGAAGACATGGAAATATTTTGGAGTAAAAAGAAATATTTCATAGTAACAGAACTCAGTGGCCAGAAAATGTTTTCAGTTTGTTCAATGCCTCAGCACTCAGAAACCAAGGCCTTAAACAAATGAGATTTCTTCTGTATTCAGTTACTTACTTTGTTAAGAACAATTAAATGAGGAAATTCAGAGTTTCCCTGTCTTATCTTTCACTTCTGGGGAAGGGTTTTCTGGGGAAGGAATAATTAATTGCACCAAGTAGGAATCTTAAACACCTTTGAAAAATGAAGCTTCAGCCTACTGTCAAGTTCTGGTTTGTACTGTATTTTCATTTCCCAGTTTTTCTTACTGGCAAATTTCTATGCTATAGTCTGGCCATCAAACTAGCTCTTATAAGTGAGGTTCACCTGAAGTAATACATAACATTTCTTCTTCTTTGGCGATCACTTGTAGCCGAGTAAGATTGTCTTCCATAAACATGGTTTTAACAATGAGTCCGTAAGTGACTGTGGAGACCAGTTCTGGATCCACACGTCCTTCCACAGTGGGGACATTGGAACAATGGTATGTAAAAGTGCTCAATGCTAGCTGAATCATATGTTTTAATTGATTTGCAATCTTGGGGATTTTAAAAAAAAATATATCTCATTTGAACAGCTTGCTCACTACTGTGATGATTGTAAGTGTATTTCATATTGAAATAGAACTGTGAGGCAATTTTAATGCTTATTATAGTTTCTTCATAAAAGATTGAACTCGCTTCTTGTGGATTGTAGGTCTGCAAGTGGAAATTGCTGTTTGATGGTCTACACACCTGAGACGCTAAGTTGATAGTACAGGACGTCAAGTTCATATGCTTGGCAAACTCTTTTACTCTGAATTTATTAGTCTTATTTGTTTTTTTCAATTTGCGATCCAGTTCTGTAAAATGTCATGGGCACAGTTGTATTGAATGGATTAGATTAGGTTTTTATTTATGGCATCTTTACCAAAATCAAAGAAAAGCGAACTTGATATCCATCAACTACAAAAGTATAAAATCGCTTCTGACAGTAACTCCATTATAAAAATGCATTAAAAGTTCTTGGATTTTTAGTTTTAGTTTTACTCTTGACACTGAATGAAATAAACCTGCTCTTATAGTTCTTTGCAAAAGCTTTTTTTTTTTTGTGGTTGACTATTGACAGAGTCAATACTGGTTAGAATTGAGGAAACACATAGTACCTACAAAATGGGTTATGAAACAGTTCAGTTCTGAAATTATAATACAGTGGTACCTCGGGTTACATACGCTTCAGGTTACATACACTTCAGGTTACAGACTCCACTAACCCAGAAATATTACCTCGGGTTAAGAACTTTGCTTCAGGATGAGAACAGAAATCATGCTTCGGCGGCAGCAGGAGGCCCCATTAGCTAAAGTGGTGCTTCAGGTTAAGAACAGTTTCAGGTTAGGAACGGACCTCTGGGACGAATTAAGTATGTAACCGGAGGTACCACTGTACTTCTATAAATTGGAAGTATTGTCCTAGCTGCCAACACCACCTGTTGCTCCTGATTGCTATTAAGGAAACAGCCCTTGTCATCAGTAAGCAGTCTTGTCTGTAGTGTGGGGTCTTGGTTTGGTGCTCTGCAAGTGGTTGTGTATGGTCAGAGAAGCAGTTTATAGTAGGAATGTAGCTAGCAGGAAAGACGAGTAGGATATGGGGTTTGCAAAAGCGAGCGTTGGCATTGGGGAGAGGGTGAGGGCTTCTAAAAGGCTCTTTGCTTGCTTTGGAGAGCCGAAACCGAAACCCTATTACTCAGAGAAGTAGGAATGTTTAACTGTATAGTAGTACCTTGGTTGTCAAACTTAATCCGTTCTGGGAGTCCGTTCGACTGCGGGAACCATTCGAAAACCAAGGCGCAGCTTCTGATTGGCTGCAGGAGCTTCCTGCGGAAGCTGCGTTGGATGTTCGGCTTCCAAAAGACGTTCGCAAAGTGGAGCACTTACTTTCGGGTTTGTGGCGTTCGAGAGCCAATTTGTTTGGGAGCCAAGCCGTTCGACAACCAAGGTACCACTGTGTTTTAGTTAATGCACTGCACTTATGCAGCCATTTCCTGCATCTCACCAGCATCTTCCCACATGCACAGAGCAGCCATAGACACATGTGTCGGTGCTGTATGTGTATATAGCTCCTTCACATGCCTCACCATGCTTTCCAAATGTGGGATTTGCTATCAGAGAGATAGTGTTTAAGCTGTTCTGTAAAGGGTTGCACTGCCCCAAAGGATCTATTTTGTAGTCTGGGGCTACTTCTAGATCCTGCTTTGTCAACCTAGGTAGTGACTTTCATTGGCTTTGGCTGGTGTTCCAGCTCTGGCACCCCCTAGGCAGTGACAGCCTACTCACAGTTAGCGATGCTCTGGTAAAACTTAGCATTGACTTCTATAACGCACTGTATGTAGGGCTGCCTTTGAAGACTGTTTGGAAACTGCAGAGTAGAAACTCAATAATAGACTTAGCAGGGTTGCACATGTTGCTCTCTGGGAATCTGATGCAGGATTTGTAAATTTGCTGCCTGCTGTTGGTGTCTGCTTATTGGTTTCCAGCATGCCCTACTTGCATATTTATAAATAAAACATTGCAGAGGACCCATAAATCTACACTGTGCTTCGTCATCCAGAGGAATTAAACCCTGCTGTGTCACTGGCCCTGGAATGTCTTGCCACACAGGTTTTCAAAGGCTTCTTGCTAATAGCAATTAAAGCATATGAGTGCCTTGCTAAAAAATAAAAAAATTCTCTATTTCAGCATGGGATGAAACCATTACATTATACAACAAGGCCAAAGGCAGCTCAAATTCACTGAAGGCAAATTTAACAATTGGAATTGGTCTTGTATGCTGTCTTGTTCAGATTAATCCACCAACACTATCATTAGGAGGAGCTGGTACAGAGTTTTCCTGAAACTCGCTTCTCTACTTATAATTACTTCGTTATCTATATTTAACAAATATTTATTAAATGGATCTAAAATGTGTTTACACCTGATATTAAAATTATTATATTAGTCTACATTTACAAACTTATGGTCTTACAAATAAAGCAACAACTTTGAAGTACTGCATTAGGAGTTGTTTCTTTCCAGTAGATGTCAGTAGAACTATATGGTTTTTTAAAAATTTGTACTTACTATTGACTATGCAGACTTCAGCTTGGAAGTCAGTTTTGTTTTGGAGTGTGCACAGATTAGCTAAATACAGCAAGCCCTCAACTTACATGGGGGTTATGTCCCTTATGCCAAAATCATGTCTAGTCAAAACACATTGGGTACAATGGCGGCGGTAGCGGTGGAGATTGCCAAAGTCTTTTTTGCTCAGACACTCACCCCCTTTCTGCCCCATTTTCATATTTTCAATCATCATCATTATTATTTTTGCCAAGCACATAATGCTGAATGTGCACAAGTTAAATGTGCGTAAGTTGTGGGCTTACTGTATTATGAAATCCATCCACTATAGTAAAGCATATTTTGTCTTTAAAAGTAAAATCCACAGATGTACAACTTTTCATCACATAAATAATTCCCCCTCTCTCTTTTACTTTCTCTCTTCAGTGTACATTTTCTCACCAGCTGTGGTATCATCCAGGGCATCCTCTTCCTTGAATTTCTGGGTTGGGAAGTGGAGGAAAGTTTTGTGTGCGTATCTCATACAGTGAGAGAGCCATAGTGAACCCAAAGGTCCTCAGATTGAATTTAGGGTTTTAAATGCAGGCTTCTCTGCTCATCAACACCCCACACACTAGTCCATATAATTTAGAAGACACAAACAAGATGCATCGCAACAAATTAATCTTTCAGTTAAGTGTATTGTGCCGTGACCTAGCCTTTAATGTACCTCAGCTTTCTAATGGCATACAGTCCTGTGCTGGGTTTAGTAGGGCTGTTCTGCTGTTTTCACTGATAAATTTAGGACTTGCTGATCGTAAGGTCGAATCCCCATGGTGGGGTGAGCTCCCGTCGTTCGGTCCCAGCTCCTGCCCACCTAGTAGTTCGAAAGCACCCCTAAGTGCAAGTAGATAAATAGGTACCGCTTTATAGCGGGAAGGTAAACGGCGTTTCTGTGTGCGGCGCTGGTGCTGGCTCGCCAGCTGCAGCTTCGTCACGCTGGCCACGTGACCTGGAAGTGTCTTCGGACGGCGCCGGCTCCCGGCCTCTTGAGCGAGATGAGCGCGCAACCCTAGAGTCGGTCACGACTGGCCCGTACGGGCAGGGATACCTTTACCTTTAAGTGGGACATGGGTGGCGCTTGCCGATCAGAAGATCGGCGGTTCGAATCCCCGTGACAGGGTGAGCTCCCGTTGCTCGGTCCCTGCTCCTGCCAACCTAGCAGTTCGAAAGCACGTCGTAGTGCAAGTAGATAAATAGGTACCGCTCCGGCGGGAAGGTAAACAGCGTTTCTGTGTGCTGCTCTGGTTCGCCAGAAGCAGCTTAGTCATGCTGGCCACATGACCCAGAAAGCTGTCTGCGGACAAACGCCGGTTCCCTCAGCCAGTAAAGCAAGATGAGCACTGCAACCCCAGAGTCATCCGCGACTGGACTTAACAGTCAGGGGTCCCTTTACCTTTTAAGTAGGAAGACAATGCCAAGTTATTCTGGGGGAGAAAGAGGGTAAGTTTTTTGGGTTGGGTTGCTCACTTTTTCCTCCCAACAATATGTGAAATGATATTTTGTTGTCATGATACAGCACTGTTGGTCATTGGGAGGGAATGTGGTGGCCTAGTTGCATTGCAGTGGCAGAAAAACCTTTAGTATTAAAGGAAGATAAGTTAGAACAAAAAGATGGTGCCGTTGTGTTTACTGGCTGGTGTCTTGTCTCTGAAAACCTTGGTGACTTTCTGCTCTAAAAAGTCACCAAGCACAGCTTCCCATTTTTGCAGCCTGCAGCTAGAGCTGTGAAGGTGTTCTTGGATAGGCTATGCTGGGAAGCTGTCAGGTCCTTAGTCTGAGGCATCCAAAACATTATGGCCAGCAGATTTGGCAGGTTGCTGCAGGTGGGCAAAAACTGATTCCTCTTCTTCCTCTTGGGGAAGTGCCCCATGAGCAGGAACTGTGGATTCATACACATTAAATAAATATGTAATCTAATCACTACTGAGTGTGGTAAATTATAATTCCAATTGCCAGATGTGGTTCAGCCTTGCAGACTTTTCAAAGGCCTAAATGTTGCAAATAGTGGATTAGCTACACTGCAGTATGAGACAATTCAGCCTTGCATAGATCAAAAGTCATATTATTAAAAGTTTTTTTTAATTACACAGAGGAAATTGTAGGGTTTAATGTATGTGCCTAACCATGTTTAAATGCGCTTACAACAGATCATCAGTTTATTTGTTATTCTGTCCAAATGGAAACCCAGATTTGCTATCCTACAGAAGCAAGTACAATAGCAAACAGCAAACAGTATGAAACATTATCTAGCAGTTCAGTTAATAATCATTTATGTGCTGGCCCATTTGTGTGTAATTGCCCAGGCTTAATGATCCTGTAATTATTTAAAAAAATGTTTTGTCATTTTTGCCTCAGATAATTCAGCAAATGTATTTTGCACGATTGTACATAATGTAAATGTACAATCGATGTTCTTGATCTCAGAGGAAAAAGTAATCCCAAGATTTTATATCATTCTGGCAACATTCCTTTTTATTATTTAATCTATTTATTTTATAATGAGAATTAGTAATCACAATTTGCATTACAAATTTCCACAGTTTTTAAAACCTTGGAGATTTGAAACTTGTAAAATTTATGATGAACACAAACAGTTGCTTTTTCAGATGAAGGAGAAAGCTGTCCTGCCAAATTTCTGCCTATCTTCTTAAAGGCTATGCAAGAGAGAGTTATGTTAGCAGGTGATCAAAGTGTAGAAATGGATATGTGGAGGCAGGCAGGATCTAACCTCCTGGCTACACCCCAATCTCCAGACTTCAACTTGTTACTTCTGTGTAGGGCCCAAATGTTCTGGTTGCACAATCTGAATGTAACCGCTGCAGAAGGTCCTACACACAGTAAACACATGGAAATTGTGGGCAGAACCAGGAAGTCCAATGTCAGCCCCGCTTTCATGCATACATTCATGCCCACCTCACAGGATTGTTG